CATAGACATCTAATGACACTGAAAAGCATTGGCTTTGCCCCACATTATTTGCTTTTCATTTAACACTTTTGTATCATGCCTGGGTCATGCATGTGGTACATTTGAGTGGTGTATGACAGGAAGGGCCTGGACCCAGAAGACCCAGAAGCCTGATCTCTTTGCAGGTGCAAACTAAAGCTGCTGCACTCAGCTCCTGTGCTGCTCAACCCATGTAAGATGTAAAGAAGAATAAGTTAGGTATAGAGGCGATGGTGAGGATGAAAACAATCAGAGAGCAGTAGGTATTGCTAACCAGGTCTGGGATATGTGATAGTGGTGTAAATCAGTTCCCTGACTTGGTGAAGAGATTCTAGGTTATCAGAGAGAATACATTAGCAGTCCGATAGCTATCTTGACATACACAGCTAAATCACTCTGTAGCCACTACTGCTTCTAGGTTGATATTTTTGGTATTAATTTCAGTCCTGAGTACAAACTGGAGTTTGAATACTGCTTATTCTTGGACTTCAAAAGGTCCCTGGCATCCCTGGAGATAAGGATAGCTGAGATGAAATGGGCTTGACCATGCTTTTCCAAATGCCCCTCTTTCCTGAAGGGCTGTGAGGGCCAATTTGCTTTCTTCTTTCTAGTGCATTCCAGGGGTACTGCCTCTGGAGAAAAGGCACTGTCTATCTCAAACTAAGTTCTCCCTATACCACCAGTATAAAAAATTCAAGACAGCTAAAATAAAGCCTATCAATGCAAACTTGTTGCGACTACAGCTGGAGAACTGTGCTTTGGTAGTGTTTTCACTCGTCTTGGAGAGGTACCAATAACTGCACCAAAGCTTAGCCAACAGAAACTGAGGAATTTTCTTTCTCCTGGACATTCAAGGAACCTGGAACAAAACTGCTATGTTCCATGTTTAGTCCCTTGTCTGTAAGAATGCCCTGTGATGGCTTTTCTGTAGTCTGCTATTCGATTTGAGTTCTTATGCAAATAAGATGCTTGAAGACTGGTAGGAGTTAAAGGTAAGAAGGTAAATAAATTACATGTAGCTAGGCTGGGATGTAACGATATTGCTCTCTAGTGGCTGCCCAGCAGAAAGGACAAACTTTACAAAAACTTGTAAAGGCTTCTTTCTAGCTCAATTAATGGAGTCCTGCTGCAGCGAAGGGGACCAGTTTCTGCGCTCAGAAAGAACAAGCATATGGGCTGTGATGTGTCCAGAGGTTTCCTGGATGAAAAATAACCTGGGCATGACAGAAAATTTGTTCTGTAGCTTCTCTCTTGGCCATTCCACATAGTAGCACCGTTAGCTTAGTTATGACCAGTGAGAAGTCATACTTGAGGAGGCAGGGGTAGAAAAAAATATACTTACCCATAAATAAAATACCAGATTTTCTTTAGTGTAAGAAGTAACTTCCTTGTTAGACTCACAGCTTGGGCTACCTATTTTGTGTGGCCCAGTATAACATAAGAATCGTGATATAATACAATCCTAAGCTTTCATCTTTTTAAAAAGACTAATGTTTGATATAGCCTACACGTATTGTTTAGGTAAGTGCTAAAAAAAAAAAAAATTAGAGAAAAGTTGTAACAATCACCATGCTTTTCATTGGATCTAGGAAGTTCCTATTATCCACGACAGAGGTTTAATGTGAGAAACAGCAAGGACCAGGATGCTTTTATTTCTGTTCTAAGCAATGACTCACAGAAGGGCTGCAGTGCTGCTACGAAAGTACTTGCCTAGTCCTTTCAGGATTTTCTTCTCCAGCTTTTGCTCCTTGCTGGCACTGGGCTCTTTTGCTTTTGAAGCATCCCCAGCTGCCTTTTCTTTCTCACTCTCCTCGTTTGCGTCTTCGTATTCTGCATCCTCGTTACCAGCTGATTCTCCCTTTTCAGACTTGTCGGTGCCTTTAGCAGTGCTTTCCTGCTCCATCAGACTAGCAGCAGACCCATAGGTTTTTATAATGTCCTCCAGCTGCCGGCTCAGCTCCTCTGAGATGTCACAAACTGTCGGTTCAGGCTGGGCGCTCGGCTGGCCCTCGAGAGATGGAGTGAGTGGCTGGGAGCTGGGCCCAGTTTTCTCGCTGTTTGGCTCCTCGAGGCCGTTCTGCTCAGGCGAGGTGGACATGCTGTCTGTAGGACCAAGCAGCTGCTGCTTGGAGCAGTGATCACGCAACTGGTTGTTGTCCATGTTTGGTGTAGTACCTAACAGCAAATAAATGCAGGGTTAGTTTAAACACATGAAATTGGTCATCTGATTTTTTGTAAATCTTGTCTAGCACAAGTGCTTTTATGGGGAATTTCAGGATGGCAGCTTAGCCCTTGGCTCTGGCTTGATGAATATGTCACACTTAAACAAACAGCCAAGGTGATCAGTTTTCTGGGAGAAAAGTAAACTTCATACTTTCCAAGAGGAAAAGCCTGCACAAAACCACTATTTAAAAAACAAAGCTCTTATTCTTGTTGCCAGTCATACACAAAATGACAGCAGATATTTATACCATTTCTCTCCCTGAACACACTATTTGTCACATGTTTACTTTCTCAGTTTGTTTACCTGGGATGCTGGCTATTGACATGGGCAGCTTTGCTTTAGATTTGCATCATTTTCATTTTCTATTTCTCATCTGTTGGCACATTTTGAATCAATAATCACCAACAAGGAGTATTCAAAATCAAAAACAGTGAATTAAAAATCGTGCTGTGCTTGTGAAAAGCTCAGCGTGGTGCTTGATCTGTGAATGGCCTGGCTTGATACTGTCACAACAACAGCAAAGAACAGTTTGCAACAAGATAAACAACTGTAAATCACTCTTCTCTTGTACTTAAAGCCTGCTGACAGCTTGTTTGACAAAATACAACATACAGAATAAATCACAGCCTTGTAAAAACAACCAGTTGTAACATGATGGGTATTTGATGGTGTTTTCCAGTGTGAATTTCACATAAATTGTTCCCAGTTTGCAGTGGGAAGTTTGCATTTTCCTGTCCTTTTGAAAAGCTACGCTCAGCCAGGCAGATCCAGACCTTCAGATGTGCCTGAGTTATTCTGAAGCTGCTCTAACTCCCCCAGGAGGTGGTGAGGAGCAAGCGGATGAGAGCTTCCCAGGCTTTTGCTCGTCAGAGGCTGGGTCCTGCAAGGCGTGGGGCAGCAGACTAACATCTTTGACCGTGAGCAGTTTGCAAACTCAATTTAGAGAAGGAGCAGCTCAGCGTACAGGCTGAGCTGCCTTTACTGCTGCATTGCTCCTGAGCTGTACTGCAGAGGAGCAGGGTATGCGACTGTGTCTTGTTACTGGAGCTAGTCCACACTGCTGCTTGACTACAGATTTGATAGTATTTATAGCCGTGAGCCCTTTCTTTCTCCATTTCAGTCTGATTTTTGTTTATCCCTTGAAGTATATGACTTACAATAGTGCCAGTCAGGTGTCTGGTGAGGAATAAAGAGAGGAAGACGATTGCTTTGTTGCTCCTGTTCCAGTATGTAAGAGGTTGCTTTCTTACTTTTGAAAAGACAACTTGCTTTGAAAACAAGGAGCTAAGAGAGTAACATTTTGTTCCCCATTCAGTAGACTGTAATGTTTATTTTCCATGGTATTGAAATTGCTGCACTTTTCAAAATCATAAACTAACTTGACCAAAGGCAGTGTATGAGGAGAGAGATGCAATTTATTGCAATACGTGACTCAGTGTATATTATTAAACTCTTAGCAGTCAAAGCGATGTTTGGAATTGCAGTGACAGCCATTTCTAAGGCAGCATTTCTCAAGATTTCATTGTCTAGCTATTTAGTTGTGCCTACTGATAAGATAGTCGGACATCTGTGTTTTATCGTCTCTACCAGCTATTAATTGTGGGCCTACAACTGAAAGCTTTGAGTGAGGCTCGGGATGTGTTTGTTGCCTATAAGATGTTAGCTACAAAACCATGCTCTTGCGGTCCTTCCATAGGTAAAACTCACCAACATTAATGGCTTGTGCAGATAGTTGGAGCTCATCTCATGGACGCTGTCAGATGGACAGATTTAATTCTTTACTTCCTGCTTTTGGCATAGTCATTATACTACTGCAAAGTGAACTTAAAATTCTATCAATCAGTATGATTTGGTGTCATACTCCTTTTAATTTCTTTTGAAAAATTAGACCTAACGTGCAATTTACGTAAATAATTCAATTAGCGCGAATGTTAAACTACAGTTTGTGATCTTGGTTTAACTAGACTTAATTGATTGCCAATTAATTCAAATTCAGTGTCATTATTGTAAATGCTAAGCTAGAAGCCCCACAAAATATGTTTTTATCTCTAACCTATTCAGTCTAGTATTTACAATTGTATAATTAATTTGAGCTAACTGGCAATTGACAATCAATCAACTAGAAAAGCTGGGATCACTGGTTCTTGTCTAGACAAATTCAATGTCCATTTCAGAACAAAAGTTTCCAATGTCCATTTCAGAACAAAAGTTTCATAAAGCATATCCCTAATAAGAAATAGTTATTTCTGTAATATACTCATCATAGAAGGCAAACTGGATCACTAAACACTCTGTTTACATATATGAATTTCTCTTCTCCCTATCTCCCCATCATATTTGTCATAAGGCACAAGTCGACATGGTTCTTGCTGCCAGAGCCTGAAATGCATCCTGCTCCTAGGAGTTCAGCTGGCTAAGTGAAGGAGTTTAGCTGATAGAGTCCAAGGCCAGAGCCTTCACTCCTAAGAGCTTGTTGTGAAGAAAGTTAGAAGTGAGGGCCTGCCCCTCCTTTCCCTTGGAGCTGCTTTTCAGCTTCACTGTTGGCCCCGTCCATCATAGCTGGGCAGTGGTGACGTCTGCCCACAGTCTTGGACCTCCTCAACTCTGGCCCTGAGCTGGACCCGCCGGCTTGGCTTCCCAGCTTGCCCTTGGACCTGCCTCATCGCTGCAGATGTGCCGGGTGATTGTCAGGCTGTGCCTGACCCTGATCACTGTTTACGGACCCCGTTTGACCCTGACTTGTTGCTCCGCATCCTGCCTCCTTGTCAGTGAGTCTCCTGGTTCTGCTGGACATGTTATCACACTTGGCTTCCAGCTCCTTGTCCCTTGCAGAGCATCTGGCCCTCACTGCACCCAGACACTGTCCCTTGACTTCCTTCCCAAGGCCTAATGGCATCACTCATGTATCAGCACAGGCTAACTAAAATTTTCCTGCTAAGTGAACCACTAAGTCCGCAGCTAGAAACAAATTACAGTAGGCTCTAAATCAGCGATGGCTATTGGTTCATATATCAACCGAGTTTCTCAGTAATAAATGAAACATGCTGGTGAATTAAAGAGGAACTGGATGTTTTGAATCAAGGACACAAAGTGTCTAAAAGCTGGCCGATGAGGAAATATTTTCTAATATAATCTAGATCATCCCTGACTGGAAATGGACTGTTTATAATCAGTCTCTGAAACCATGGCAATTTACATCTGCTGATGTTTAGGCCAGTGATCTGGAGTGGCAAGTAGAAGTGAGCCACAGAAAATATCCAGAGTGAGGAACCTTAAACTCAAGGGTGCTCACAGCTTGGATCATGCTGGAGTATTATACAGATAAGTAAATATTTTAATATTTTACTCTGTTCTTCTTTAGTCCGAATTTCAATCAGAGATCTGATTACTACTTTCAGTATACACATAATGTCTGTTAAGGCTTCTGCATCTTATTTTGTGTAACAGCTTTCATAGTATAACAGGATTTACAGTTAGGTAAACAGAGTAGCTACTGTCTGCTGAAAACATCCCACTTTCAGCCTTTGATCCTGGAAAATTTTGCTGCAATTGGCCCTGGCCCTCCTCTTGCTCCAGCCTGTTACCTTGAGGTATATCAGGCATTCTTTCTTATTATGCCATAAAAGGCTTATGGTGCCAAACTCGGCATGCCCCAAAGCGCTTACATTGAATGCTGTCTTAGACACAGTAATGTCTAAAAACTAGGCGAGCTGAGCCTAGCTGACTTCCAACAGAATGAGAGGAGGAAGACCAAACTCAATTTCGATGATCCGCCTCTTGACTTCTCTGACTCCTGCTACCATTACTGTTGTCTCCAGGCTTCCAAATGTCCAACAGGGCCTTGTCTGTTTTATGCAGTGAGGCGAGGGAATGACCAGTTAGCTGACTGAGCCTGAGTCTTGGATCTCGTCTACTCTTTTCCTACTGTGCTCACAAATCCTGGACCTGTTCCACAACCCTGTTTCTTGGTCCTGTTTTTTGGATAGAAGTGTGATCCCAGACAATTGTAGTTGCTACCTACAATATTCACTCCAGCTAGTTAATAAGTTTTCATTTTCTTTGGAAAATAGAGTTAATACTACGGTAATGTATTGTTCCTATATCAGTCATGGCATTTTGAGTTTTAGCCTTCTCTGCTTGAGATACAGCTGAATTTCAAGCCCAGATCCCAGGTGTGTGTTCCACCTTGATTCCCAGCATACCTTTGAAACTCTAAGCCTGCTCCTGCCACCAACAAAGTCAGAGCAAACCAGGCTAGTCTGCTGGACTCTAACGTGCAGCAGCAACAGAACTGCAAGTCACAGCAGAAAGGTGGTGTGAGAGTTGCTATTAACTGCGCTTCAGCTGTGGCTGCCATGGCCTGGACAAGACCCAGGGCCTGGCTGCAGAAATGTTCCTCCTCTCTTCCACATATCAGAGGTGGGAAACACTTCTGACAGCAAGAGGGTGCTACTGCCTCCCCACTGTGGGCCAGTGCTGGCTGCAGGAGAGTGTCCTCTCCATTCACCTCCTCTCACAGTCAAAATACTTGGCTTAAACCAGCAGAGCAGTGGAGCACCTTGGGACACAGGCAAGCTGCAGTCTCTGAGGGGAAGTGGCAGACATCCCTCTGAGGGTGATGCCTCTCTGCAGGAGTATGCCTGGCCATGCTGCCATCTCACAGTCAGACTGATGCTTGAGGGCAACAGCAGTGAGTGGATCTGCCCATGGGGCCAGAAGACCCCAAAATGGGCTATGCACACGGTATAGCCAGAGCTGCAGTTAGAGGCAAGAGCAAAAGTGTGCTGCTAAGTATGGTCTGGTAACAGGTGGCGTTTGTTTGGCTCTGACCATATCCCTTAACATTTCACGTTTATGGCACATTTCGCATTCACTGTATTTTGAAGTCAGTCAGTACTTCTAAAGCAAAAGGTTAGTCAGTAAGAGCCAGAGCCTGA